GTAATTTTGGACTCTGGAATTAATAATGGAAGGAGGCACTTTCATAGTAACATATATCTAATTTAAAACTGCTGATGAAGTTTGTTCTCCTTTGTTGGTGGCAAGTATGATAGCTAATGCTTCTAAGCATAATGCTTTTCTGATGCGGACCATACTATTGAAGCAAAAGCGTTCAGTTGAAATTGTCCATCTTCTTGATATTGTTGCAGTACTGTTGTTGTTCAGTCACACAGTCGAGTCCGACTCTTCACGACCCCATGGACCACAACATGCCAGGCCCTCCTGTCTTCCGTTGTGCTCTGGAGTTTGCTTAATTTCATGTTCGTTGCATCTATGACACTGTCTAACCATCTCATCCTTTGCCGTCCCCGTCTTCTTTGACATTCAGTCTTTCCCAGCATCAGGGTCTTCTCCAGTGAGTGCTCCCTTCTCATTTGGTGGCCAAAGTATTTGAGCTTCAGCTTCAGTATCTGGCCTTCCAGGGAACAGTCAGGATTGATTTCTTTTAGGATTGACTGATTTGATATCTTTGCAGTCCAAAGGATTCTCAAGAGTCTTCTCCAGCACCATCATTCGAAAGCATCTATTCTTCAGTGCTCGGCTTTCCTTATGGTCCAACTCTCGCAGCCATACTGGGAATACCATTGATTTAACCATACGGACTTTTGTTGGCAGGGTGATGTCTCTACTTTTTATTATGCTGTCTAGGTTTGCCATAGCTTTCCTCCCAAGGAGCAGGCGTCTTTTAATTTCATGGCTGCAGTTACCATCTGCAGTGATCTTGGATCCCAGGAACGTGAAGTCTGTCACTACTTCCACTACTTCCCCTTCTATTTGCCAAGGAGTGATGGGGCTGGATGCCATGATCTTAGTTTTTTTGACGTTGAGTTTCAAGGCAACTTTTGCACTCTCCTCTTTCAGCAAGAGGCTCTTGAGGTCCTCTTCACTTTCTGCCATTAGAGTGGTATCGTCTGCATTTCTGAGGTTGTTGATCTTTTTCCCAACAATCTTAATTCTGGGTTGTGATTAATCCACGCTGGCATTTCACATGATGTCTGCATATAAATTATATAAGGAAGGTGACAATAAACACCCTTGTCGTACTCCTTTTCCTATGCTAAACCAATCTGTTGTTCCATATCCGGTTCTAACTGTTGCTTCTTGACCCTTATACAGGTTTCTCAAGAGACATGTGAGGTGGTCTGGTACTCCCATCTCTTTAAGGACCTGCCATAGTTTGTTGTGATCCACACAAAGGCTTTAGTGTAGCCAATGAAGACGAAGTAGATGTTTTTCTGGTACTGTTTTGCTTTCTCCATAATCCAGCAAATGTTGGCAATTTGATCTCTAGTTCCTCTACCTCTTCGAAACCCAGCTTGTACTTCTGGCAGTTCTCTATCCACGTACTGTTGAAGCCTAGCTTGTAGGATCTTTAGCATGACCTTGCTAGTGTGTGAAATGAGTGCAATCATGCAATAGTTTGAATATTCCTTGGCATTGCCCTTCTTTGGGATTGGAATGTAAACTGACCTTTTTCAATCCTGTGGCCACTGTTGCATTTTCCAAATTTGCTGGCATATTGAGTGCAGCACTTTAACAGCATCATCTTTTAAAACTTTGAATAGGTCAGCTGGGATACCATCACCTCTGCTAGTTTTGTTAGTAATGCTTTCTAAGGCCTATTTGACTTCGCATTCCAAATTGTCTGGCTTGAGGTCAGTGATTACACCGCCGTGGTTGTCAAGGACATTGAGGTCCTTCTTGTATAGTTTTTCTGTGTATTCTTGCCATCTCTTCCTAATCTCGTCTGCTTCTGTTAGGTTCCTACCGTTTTTGTCCTTTATCATGGCCAGCTTTACACGGAACGTTCCCTTGATTTCTCCAATGTTCTTGAAGAGATCTCTAGTCCTTCCCATTCTATTGTTTCCATCTAATACTTTGCATTGTTCATTGTTCTTTGTTCATGAACAATGCAGTACTGTACCAAGTGCATAAGATGAAGTTTCTGCTGGAATAAAAATTTTACTCATTGAATCAAAAGTTGCCAGATCAGGTATAATGGTGAGAGTTTCTTCAGTCTCCTGAATAACTTATTCCTGACTTGGGTCTATGACGGACTGAGAGTCTGATCACAGCATTAATTAAATGGGGCTTATAAAATCTGATGGGCCGGGCAGGAAAATGTGCCAAGAAATTTGTCATTCCCAGGAACCATCAGACCTCTGTGACAGATTTTGGAGTTGGGAATATCTGAGTTGCTTTTAAATTTTTGGGATCAGGGTGTATACCTTCTTCATCAATCACATATCCATCAAGCACATACTCCAAGGCAGTTATGGCAACAAAGAAACATAGGGTATAATGGAGAATTGATCCAGGGGTATAATGGAGAATCAGAGGATATAATAGAGGTATAATGGAGCATTGATCTCCATAGGGTACAATGGATAATCGATCCAGGGGTATCTGGGGCTCTGGAAGGCTTGTTTTTTGATGTAGAGGCACCAAATTTGCAGCATAGCTGACAGTGCCTCTCCTCAACGCTCCCCCCCCCCCAAGTTTCCAAAAGATTGGGCCAGGGGATCCAATTCTATGGGCCCCCAAAGAAGGTGCCCCCATCCTCTATTGCTTTAAATGGAAGGGGAAAAGGCATTTATAGAGACTGGATTTGTTGTCAGGTTTTTTTTAAAAAAAATGACAAATACCAGTGAGGTATTTTTTCAGGGTTTTTTTGTGTGAATACACACTCCTGCCTAAGAGCAGGCAAGGAAAGGCAGGATGACTACAGCACAGAGAAGAGGCAGGGCTTCAAGAGATGAGGCCAACATCATACCTACCCTTCTCAGACCAGAGGAGAGGACCTTTAAGATAGCAGAGGAAGGAGAGGTGCAGGAAGGGAAATCCTGGGCCAGGAACCCAACATTCTCTATTACTCACACCCAGCAAGGCCATGCCTTTTTAATGGGGCTTTAAAGGAACCCAGGGCTGCCCTGCCCACAGGAAATTCTTTCAAAGGCAGGAAGCAGGGTTGCCAAGGAAAACATGCCAGACTTCTACCAGGAGGGGCATCCAGGTGAGACAGAATTCCCCTTTTCCCCCAAAAGTAAGGCTTTGTATACGGCCTGCCAAGAAAAGGTGCTTGAGGGTGCAACAGCCCTGGGCTCCATTTCTCAGGAGTTGAAGCCTGGCAGTTGCCTACCATTATCCTGGCCTTTTCCCATCAGTGTTGTGATCATTCACTTCGGTGGTCAAATCACTTTAATCATTCACAGTTTAAAAAATAAAAATAGACTGTATTTAAACAAAGCCACCCCTTTTTATCCCATGTGGAAAACTGTAGAGTGGCAGATACTTATTCAAGATCTGTTTAATCATGAGAACTTTTGTACTTAGCTTAAAAATCTCCAGTGTCTGCAATGAGGAACAATGATGGTAAGGTATATCTTGGTTATCTATGAAATTTAGAGGACCCTGGAGTTTCAAATGAGCTCAAAAAGCCTTGTTTCACTTAAGGCCATTGATGTTCTCACCAATATCGTTCTAATAATTATATGTAGTGGTAACTAATTTTAAGACTGTAGTTTTTGTCTATCTGTTGATAATCCCTGTAGAAAGTGGCTATCCAAAGGGGTAGGAGAGTATGCCAAACAGGAAATTAAAAATATGAAATCATGACTAGCAAGGAATGTTGCTTATGTCTGGAACAAGAAGGTTTTTAAAATTGCCTTTATGTTGCTCATGGCTTTTTCTCTTTGTTTCTGTTATTACTCAGACATATCCATGGTTTTTTGCTAGTAAGGATAGGACAGGACTTTACTAAAAGAGTTTTACCATAAGACTACATGTTTTCTCACCAAATTCTTTCATCCATCATGATATGTGCATGTTCGTTTAAGTGTATTTTTCTGTCAGGTGGTCTGTAGTTTTTTCTGTTAGAAATGGGCACAAGTCTTGAAAGCATGACCTCTGAGAAAGGGTCTGTTACAATCTTCATCCTGCCTGAGAAAGAGTCCAGCAGAACTGGACTGAAAGAGACAGCCCTGTAAAAAAAAAAGACAAGTATATAGCAAATGGGAAGGGAAGAGTGGGGGTAGACAGGACTAAGATTCTGCCTTTCCTACATGTTTTTGATCTTGTCTGTTCCCTCCCATCTCCTTTTCAGCAAGTTTCTCAAGGTGGGTAGTAGAATCAGTTTGATTTACCTTGAGCTGCCTTTTGGGGGCTAATTTAATACTTTAAGGGCTCATCTGTTTTATTTTTGATGCCCCTGTCAACAGCTTTGTTGGTTCCGGTACTGCGCGATGACGGGCAGATCTTGGTTTGCGCTGAGCCGCCACACCTTCTTTCGTTCCTTTTCGAGTCTCCCGACTGTCGGGAGAACTTGACCAACCCTCCCGGAGAGAGAGCTGGAGCAGGGGGATTTTTTGGCCCCTCCCACAATTGGCAATGTGGGGGGTGTCCAAAAACTGCCCCAAAGCAGGAGCGATCGGCGGGATAGAACATGGCCGCCATGTTCTGTTTAGACGCAGCCATCCGTTTTCTTAACTATGTGGAGTTTCAAAATTGAAAATAATTGCAGTAACACAGAAGAAGCAAAGGAAAGTGTGAGTAAACCTACTTCAAAGTGCTAAGTGGAGAAGGAAAATAGAAAAATCCCCAATCAAAAATGTCCCGATCCGAGAATGATAGCGGCCGGGAGACATACGGGACTTAATTATGTGTCGGTATTTTGCATGGGGAAGAGAAGGACTTTCTGTTGCCATTTTTGTATTGTGCTGGATTTGCTTATCGGCAAGGACCTGAAAAAAGGATAATGGTTGGCAAAAAGACTGTAGGATAATGAGAACACTGTGGTTGGAACTTGAATAAATTGACTTGGAGAGCTTGCTTGAAATGGCGTGCGTGATGAGAATGGAGGAGGAGATTGACGAGAATATGGAAGTGGGTGAGATGACTGTCAAGCAGTTTCTTAGAGTTTTGAAAGAGGCGGTTCAAAAAGGATGCGAAGAAGCGTGTGCGAGATTGTTGAAAAAACGCATAACACAGAGATAGAAACTGAAAAGGCGGAAGAGCAGGAGCAACCCATTGTGAAGGAGATCCCAGATGATTGCCAAAAGGAGAACAGTGCTTATTTGGGGGAGGAAAATCTGGGGTCTATACAGGTGAAGGACAATGTAGAAACCCAATACTTGTCAATTGAAATAGTACGAAAGAGACAAAAAAACCCATTATCCTGTGCTAAGTTAGGACTGCCAAAGGAAAATAAACAACGGTTGAAAACTGAAAGAGAAGGAGACAGAAGGATTAAAAGAAGGAAACGACGGGCTTGGAAATTTAAAGGAGACAACGACAAAATATGGGAAACAGAGTGGCTGAAAACCAGAGAGGGGAGGTTTGGAAATCAAGGAACTCATGAAGAACGAAGACATGTAGATATGCTGAGGCAGAAAAGTAGATTGCAGATGATTAGGAGGAAGAACGAGCTATATAAAAAGATACAACGACTGGTTTTCTTCGAACATAGGTTTAGATAGAAAGATGACCTTAAACCTACTTATTTATTTATTTATTTATTGTAGCAAATTAGTGGTGTGATTAGGAAAGATTAGGACCAGGTGTGATTAGGAAAGCTTTATTATGCACAATATAAAGATAAAGGATGATGGAAATATTAGGGATGTTGAATTTTTTAAAGTCACCTATTTATGTTTGAATATGTTAGAATATTATGGCTGAATATTAGTTCATTTGGATAATGATCTAATGTGATTGTAGGCAATAATAGGATTTTTTAAAGTTAAAAATTAATATAAAGGTTATTAACAAATTGACAGCAAAAGTAAAATACTTAAAAGGCTCTAAGATCAATTCTAACAAAAATAATGAATTGGCAGGCTAATGGAATAATTGTTAATATAATAAGAGAGATTTGATTATGGTGTTGGTAGCTACTTAATTGCGTTTAGTGGTATTAGAAGGTTATGTGGTGATGTAAGTAGGTCTTGATTTTGATAACAGTTTAGTATGTGTATGGTGGATGTAGATAAATTTTGGTTGAATAAAGATAGGTAAAGGCCGGGCAGACTGTAACTGAAGGATATTGGTGCAGATAAATGTAAACCTCAGGTTTAAAAATAGGAGAGCAAACTGGTTAGTTAAATTTGATATAAAGGTTCCAACGAAGTGTTTAATTAATTTAAAGGGTGTAAAGATTGATTAAAAAGTAAAAAGGGTAATAAAAGAAAATGAATTAAAAATTTAATATTAAATCCTGTTCTCATACTGGAAACAAAGAGTTAGCAGACTACTGGAGGATGGATAAGGGTTAGATCTGTGTAAGGTGAAGAGAAATATAATAAGTCAGTATGAAGGTTCCATATTGCTGATATGAATTTTGCAGCGTAGTTCTGAAAAGTTAGTATATAAACCTTAAATGAAATAGTAATAGAATTTTTATTCAACACAGATTTGATATTAAGGCTGAAGATAAGATCAAAATATGTATGTATTTTTTGCCTATTTGTTTGTTATTCTGTGATGCTGGAAAGGAAAAGCGTTGTCATAGGATCTTGTATGTAGTCTTGTTGATTATTTGGTTTGTATGTATGATATAGGCTTACATTATAAACTCAAATAAATATATTGTTAAAAAAACCCAGCTTTGTTGGATCAGAGTTGTGTGATGCCTGAGTTAGTTTCTCCTGATGCCTCTGGCTTATGGGCTACCTAATTCTCTTGGCTTGCAGAGTAGGTCTCTTAGCTTTTGGAATGGGACAAAAAGCAAGTAGGTTTTTTGGGTCTCTGATCTTTCCAGAATTTTTTTGGGTTGATAAACCTTTTTCATCCCCGCAATCCTCAGCTATCACAAGGGAACAATCTCCCTTTAATGGTGGACTTGCTCGATCCTATTGTATTCTAGCACTTTCACAGAAAACTGCCTTACTTATAGCTATCATACCAAGCAGTCTGTCTCAGCTGGGCTCTGGTTTGAATATGTGGTGTTCCACAATACTAAGTGCACCATACCGTATGTTATATGCCTGATAATAAATGCCTTATAGAAAGCCCTTCAGCATTTGACCTTCAGATCCTCAATCTGGAGCTATTTCAGTAAACAACAACAACACGGCACGTGGCTGCTGAAGGCAAGCCCCAGACCGGCTGCAGCCTCCATAGCTCGCAGGGGCAAGCTCTCCGCTGGCTGCAAAAGCCACAGCCAGCCTGGGCACTCTCTACCCTCCGCACCCTCCCTGGAGCCCAGGCCAGCTCCTTACCTTTCTGCGCGGGAACTCTGAATCCACTAAAACCTTGTGCAGCTCGCAGCTCCACCAGCCCCAACTGAGGACTTCTGGGAGCTGGGGGTGGGGCTTAGGGCTTCCAGGAAGCAAGCCCTGACTTCCCTCCCTCCCTTCCTCTCAGTCCCAACCCATCCAGCGAACTCAGTCTTGGAAAGCGGAAGGGAATTAGGGAAACCCTCCACTTTCTAAGGTGGGGGAGCTGGGAGCAAGGCTGGCTGGAGGAACCGGTTGCCCCCGGGGGAGACTTAGCACCTTCTGGGAAATTTGGTTGGGGGCTGGCGCCCCAGAGCCCCCATGAACTTTACGCCGGTGAGCATTGTAATATGCAGGGAGGAAAGTGCTAGGTGTTGCACAAGATCTTGCACATGCAGAATGATGCTAATTCCATTAATGTTTCCACTTATGCATCACTGGATCTACTCTAGTAGCTGACAGCATTTCACATCTCAGTGGCATTGCTAACAGGGAAAGGATTGCATTTTTAGTGAGAGTGTTGCTCTTTGAATATTGGGAACTGGGATACCGTCAGATCCCAAAACTGCTATAAAGCAGTTGGTTAGAAAGGTTTGAGTCTCTTCTAAAATGTTTGGTGTGTCAGTTTTAGTAAGGCTGCTGAACAGTTCCTTTTGAGGGTGGTTGTATTAATCAAGCATTGACCCAGTTGGGCAAATTTAAAAAGATGTCTCTACAACTAAAATGTGGAACTGCCTTTTGTTTCCCACATGGGATGATTGTCACCACTAGGGAATGAGGAGTTAAGCGCAAGTGCATTCCAGAACATCTGGCATACTCAATGTTATAAAAAGCAGCTTACAGTGGTCTTTGAAGAAAAGCTTATTTAATCCATGTGCACTTCTCATGGGCCAAAACTGGGGATTTAAACAAAACAAAAGTGATTTTTTAATGCTAGTTGAGATAATTATGGGATTTGGAATGAGATGCCGCCAGTATGGGGATGACACCCAGCTCTGTTTCTCATTAACAACTGAGCTGGTAGTCCTGAACAGGTGACTGGAGAAAGTACATGATGGTTTTCAGTGGGTGGCACCATGCCTGCGGAACGTCCTTCTCCCTGAGTATGCCCGGTAAACTAACTGGAAGTCTCTGCTCAGTGCCAGGCTAAAACATTTGTAAGCATCAATGAACAGGTTTCCTGGAAATGCTACAAATAAATATCAGGATCATTGGGGCATTGTAAGAAAAGGTAAGGTAACAAAATTCTGCTCAGATAAAATTATTATAATATTGCATACTGTTGCAAGTTTTTGGCTTTCTCCTATGAGAAGTATTTGTGCTGTCCTTGCAAGTTCTTCTGGCAAGCTTGTAGCTGGAGTCAGTAGCTCATATGGATGTCACAACAGAGGTTTGTCTTTGACAGACATGACACAGTTAGTTGTCATGCAAATATGCTCCCCGGAGCTGCATTAGTGAGAGTGCTGCATTTAGTGGTCTTTGCAGTTCTGGTGTCTAATAAAGGCAACAAATACAGAAAGTAAAGAAGTTGAGATCTTGTAGGAGGAAGAGAGATTTCTCATTAGTTTCCTGCTTATCCAGTCCTCATATAAGTTAAATCCTAGACTGACAGTTGGGCTGTAGGTAACTTCTTCTAGGAGGTTAGAACTATCCCAGAGCCTGAAGCTTGCATTTCCTTATGTTGTGTTGCCTGTTTTCCGCTTAAAGGTTAGATATATAAAACAAATGCTTGTCTCTGAAGGCATGATGATAGACTGAATACATAATTCTTAACAGAAATATTCAGATAAATCCTGGAAAAACATTTCTTTCATATTCATGAACTTATTTACTTGTCTCTATTTTGACTGATAATGAATTCATGTTTTTACCCTAATTAGGGAAACAATACTTGTATCGGAACAAAGCAAAGAACAGTTTTGTATCAATAGCAGACAGTGTTCTTTTGACTGCCTTAATTACAGTGGGCTGTTTCTTCTACAGAATATTTCTTCTTTATACAGTGTGCTTGTTTTTAATGACAACTACAGCTGGATAATAGGAAGACTTAGCAAAAGACAAATCTTGGGAAGAATGGCTACTATTATAAATTTCGTCTGACTGCCAGACAGCAGGGTGGTATGTTTTAAATATGAATACTGCGGTGTCTCAAGTGGTTAAGACGCTGAACTGCAGGCTGTGGAAGGTCAGTATTTCAGCAGTTCGAGACCCGGGTTGCCACATGATGGAGTGAGCTCCCGTCTCTAGTTCCAGCTCCTGCCAGCCGAGCAGTTCGAAAGCAAGAAATTGCAAGTAGATTAATAGGTACCACTTCGGTGGGAAGGTAACAGCGTTCCGTGCGCCTTGGTGTTTAGTCATGCTGGCCACATGACCACGGAAACGTCTTCTGACAGCGCTGGCTCTTTGGCTTTGAAACGGAGATGAGCACCGCAACCCTAGAGTCGGACTCAACTGGCTTTCAAGCAAGGGAACCTTTACCTTTACTTACTTTACCATTGGACATGTTTGATTGCATATCTTGGTTATTGGAAAGTATATAATCTTTAAAAATCACTGCATGCAAACACCATATATAAAAGCAAATTAAAATTGAAACAGGCTCATATTGTAACGTCCTAATTTTTAATTCAGATGGCTCTGAAATAGGTATGTCTACATTCTACGCTAGAATATATGAAGTCTGTAGCATCTGAGTTGGAAATTTTAAAGAACAATGTAGAGAAAGGGACGTTAACTCCACCTTACACATAGTGAGAGTTCTGCTTTTTTCATTCATTCATTGACAGCTTCTTCCTATACTGTATTACACACTTAAAACAAACAACCTACAATGGTGAGAGATTCTTCAGTCTCCTGAACAACTTATTCCTACCTCAGTGTGAACTTTAAAAATACTCTTAAAAATTATCTGTTTAGAGGAAACTCTGGTACATATAGCAAAAAGTCATATGGTTTCCCTGGAACAGTCTAAGGGTGTGGTCAGACAGCGTGTCGAAGCAGTTTAAACTGCTCCGGTTCCAATTGGATTATATTTGGTCTGGGACAAGCGTGATCACACTTACCTCCCTCACCGCGCAGCACATTGCTCCTGGGTGTCCACACTACAGGCGCACAGCAGCATGTGTCAGCAGTTTTTTCCCCACTGCGCATGCGCATAGGCACCCATTCATATAATTGAAATCTTCATGCCAAAAGCATGTCCTAAAGCGAACACTTCCCTTTAAACTTTTACAACGAAACTGGCCTCTGTGAGGTCCCGGACTCATCTAAAGCCTAAAACTAAGCACCGTTTTTAATATGTTTTATTAACGCCGGGGCGAAGCTTCGCCCAAGGGCATATCGCCGACGCTAAAATAAAATGGTGGCTGAAAAGTGGAAGCCTCGGGCTTCCGAGTGGAAGTGGCTCTACAGTGGCAGAGGCGCGATCACACGTCAGAAAAATGGAGCTAGAACCGGAGCACCAGGAAAACACCACTTGAGGACCTGGTAGCAAAATACTCCAGTTTAAAGGGAGTTTGAGCCGGTTGGCAATGGCTAGGGACAGGAGGCAGATGTTGGCTGTGTGATCGAGCGTAAATAGTCCATTTCTAACAGGCACGTATACCGGCTCAAATGGCCCGTCTGAACGCGCCCTAAAGGTGTTTTCTCTAAAACCTGTAATTTGACAGTTCCTATCTGTCTGTGACTTATCATTCCACTCATCCCCAAGCCAGTCAACACATCTAGAAACCTAGATAATTTTCAGACATTTTAGACTCAACTTTGCCTGTTTTAAACCACTGAATCCTTGTTCATTTTCTGTGTATATTAATCTTAGCACTGTGTATCCCAGAGTGTCGAACTCATTTGTTATGAGGGCTGGATCTGACATAAATGTCACTTGTTGGGCTGGGCCATGTGTGCCATAAAATGTAATGCCAGGTCTGGAGATATAAAATTTATAAAGGACACGGGCAAACCCAGTGAACAACATTATTTTTTACTCAAAATACAAACATGCTTAAAACATTAACACTCTTAATATATCTCCCTGATGCCTACCGTCCCACTTCCACCGCCCATTACGCAATAGCGCTGGGACAATATACAGGGATATAATACACAGCCTCTGTCATCTGGCAATAAAGGTAATTATGTATTTATTTAAATTTGTATCCCACCCTCCCTGCCATGGCAGGCTCAGGGCTGCTTACACAATAAATATCATAAACATTTAAAACAATTTGTTAAGACAATATTACATTAATATTAAAGTGCTAGCAGTTATATTATAATATCATATAGATGGCATTATCCATTTTTTAAATTAACTTAGTATACAGCATATTGGTCTTTCTTAAATACAGTCGGCGAGCGCAGGCTGTCAGTGATAGACCAGGCACCAGGCTTTTATTGTTGTTAAAATGATGGTAGATGCTTATGAGCTGGATAAAAGCCCTACATGGGCCAGTTTTGGCCCACAGACCGGATGACCAGTTGCTTATGGGCTGGATAAAAGCCCTAGATGGACCAGTTTCAGCCCACGGGCCGTATGTTTGACACCCCAGTCTATCCTGTCTTCAAGGTATGTAACTGTTTCTCCTCTTTAACCACCTCTAATTTAGACCTTTAGCAAGATTTGCCATTTCTTCTGCAACATTAACATTTTCCTTCTTTCTCTTAAATACTGTTGCCAGAACTCAGGTTATTGGGTTATGCCAACTCTTGACTTTTACGTGCATTCTTTTCTTTTTTTTAACTTGCCACTGTAAGGCTGCAATCAGATGTCCTATTTGTTGTGGAGTGGAAACAAGCCTATTTCCCCCAGTGGAAATAGATACAGTGTTGCACAAGCACACATCCTGAGCTGCGGGCTCAGTCCATCACTGCGTGATCAGATGGCATGCGTGGGCGAGTGGGGGGGATTTCCTCTTGTTTCCCATGCACATAAAGGAGGAATTGCACCTCTGCGTGGAGGGTTCCCTGTGGAGTATGCGGTTATGTGCATACAACTAAGTGGGGGGGGAAGCACCGTGTTAGGATGGAATGGGCAGACCATCCTGACAGCTTGAGTGTGTGCTTGAGTGATCAGACGGGAAAGTCTGTCTGTGGCCTGTTGGCAAGCATTAGAACCAGACTTTACGCGATGTCTTTTAACTCTGCTTCTGTGGCAGGGCAGCATGGTGTGCTGACGACTGCAGGACCTTTCCCAGATATTGCTGTCTGATCGTGCCCTTTAGATCCGTCAGGCATTCGCAGCTGAATCGGTTCTAAAGGCACATCTGACCGCGGCCTAAGTCTTTTATTGTTCATCACTCTGCTGCTGAGATGACTAAGAATGCTGATCTCAGTGCTTTCAAATCTGTTTTTATAGACCCCTCTAGGGTTTCTAAATCTTCTTATCCAACCATACGTAAAATCTTATGTCTTTCTGCATCGTGTGATCATTAATCTCATAAATCTACCCCCTGTTTTCCTTTCTAGGCTTCCTATTCCCATCCTGTGATTCTCCTCCTTTACTTCAAGAACTTCTTGAACTACCAACTTCAAATATCAGTTTTTAGATTTATTTATTAACATCTCATAACTGTGGATAAATACAAGAAGGAGATCAATAATGACTTGTTACATTACAGCATCAGCATGGTTTCTGTCTCCCAGAGCGTGCTGTCAAAGAATATATGAAACTGGGAGGTCTGGTGAGGGGCTGACAACATAACCCCTGTCCTCACCACCAGCACGACCTCCTTATGACCTTTTAGAAATGCAGTTACTATTCCTGTGGTGTTATAATTGATCCTTAGTCCTTCAGTTGTCTCTAAGTCACTTTTATGGGCCTTTGATTGCAGTTCTTGATTTTTAACTCCTTGACTTTTGTTTGAACGCGTCCCATGTATCTTTTATTGTAAATCGACCTTTGGATTGCACATTCCTATGCTATTCTCCTCCATAAAGTTTTATTTGTATTATCTCCTACATCAAAAATTATAACAAAAATGATAGGGAGAAAATTGGCTGGAGGAGAGACCTATTTTTGTTGTGCCTACTTGGAAAATAAGGAGAGATGCAAAATAATTAAGTAAAGGGTTGGGCTATAAAACTTAGAGCGTAAAACTGATTAAGCAACAGGAGTTTACAGTTAGAAACCTTTTAAAAGTTGCCTAAATGTATTTCTGAGAGCATCAAGGAGCAAAGTAGTTAATGATTCTTTTAAAATGTTATCACCATAGACTGATTTGCCAATTGCAGACTTTCCTAAAGATCCATGTAGTGACAAAGAAAGGGCCTTTTTCTAAGTAGTGCCTATAAACCCCATCCCAAGGACATGGACTTAGCTCCATCCCTGGCAGCTTTTGAGCAACATGCAGAGGAGAAACTCTCCCGGAGAACTCATAATGGCATGTGCTACTGCTGTTTTTCTTCTGTTGCTTATTTCTTACTGGATCGGGGTGGGTGGGTTAGGTTCTTTCAATGTATTGTTTAAAATATGAATCTTGATTTTAAAAGTATTGCCTCAGTATATCCTCCCCTTCCTGTCAATTCTGCAGTTCTTTGTATTCCAAGGTAGGATGTCTCCTTCTCCCTTTTGACATGTAAAAATGGAAGGAGTTCATCTTCATAGTCACTGCACAGTGCCACATGGCAACTGTGGAGACTCCCAAGCTCACCTGAGCAACAAGGTTCTCTCACCTATCTGTTAACTAATTAATAAGTATACTTCCTTGGTTCTGTCTAAACCATTGTTGCATTCTTATTGCCCTGTGTTTGTCACTAATTCCTTACACTTCTTTTCTTTCCCCTCTTTAGGAAATTCCACTTATATGGATGAACATGGGCCACCCCCTCGTAAGGTGAGGTGCTTTTGTCTTATTTGTCTTACAACAAATTCTGTTGTAAGCATCTCCAATTTCTTACGTACACTACTCTTACAAATGGAACCTGTTTCACATGGAACTTGATAAACTGGAACACCAAAAGAGACTGTAAACGTTCTGTGTCAACTAGTGATGGAATGTACTGGCATTTCTTCCATGCTACCAGCCTATTTTCCCAGACTTACCTTATGGTAGTGGAAGCATTAAGCTTAATGCCTGGAAAGTTTCCACACTTGTCCCCTGAAAGCATGGGAAATGTAGTTAATTCTGTATTAACTTGGGAAGCTCTAAACTAAATTACTCCTGTTTCCAAGGAATTTGGAGGATCATTGAAACCTTTAAGCTTTGAGGTTTCTGTTGCGGGAAGGTTTCTCTTCATTGTCCATGCCAGTGTGGGCAAGTTTGAGAAAGGGAAGGGTTTGCAGGGTGAGTGGGGATGGGTAAAGTCCCTGGGCCCTATCACGTTCCCATTGATTGACACAACTAGAACTGCGGTGGGGTTAACCTTTTAATGAGCTAATCCAGGCCCAAATTCATTCATTTGAATTATTAATAATTTCAATTTATAGCCCTTCTTTCGCTCTGAAAGTCAAAGTGGATTACAAAAGCATGCAAAACAATTCAATTAGACAGCAAAGATCTCTAATAAACAGAACAATGCATTGGGGCTAGGATTACCGACTGAGAACTGAATTAGGGTGGCTCACTCATTAGAAGTTTCAGCCTGAAGTATCTGAAGCTGGTAAATATATTCTGTTATTTTTTAATCCTGTTACAAAATAATCGCAAATCTTATGTCAGTTATGAACTTTCCTTTTTTTTCGGTCTCTTGAAGTAAAATGGTCTGTACTTCCATGATTCCTTTTCATGCCATTTTTTCTTTTATCCAGAGTGCAGCTGCTTAGACTGCAACTTGAAGGAGACCAGCCAGGGAGGTAGTGGTTATTTGACTACCATAAACTTCCTGAGAATCAGCTTCTCCTGTATTGCTTTTGACCCTGGCAAAAACTTGAATATTTATCATTAACACCAAAAGCAGAGTGTGGGGGGTATCATCTAGGGATGCCAGCCTCCAAGTGGACCTGGGGACCTCCCAGAATTATTGTTCATCTCCTGATTACAGAGATCAGTTCCCCTGGAGAAAAGGGATATTTTGAAGAGTGGACTCTATGGCATTGTACCTCACTGAGGTCCCTCTTCTCCCCAGTCTTCACTCCCAAATCTCCAGGAGTGTCCCAACCTGGAACTGGTGACCCAACCCCAACCCCTCCCCCCGAAACCCCACTGGTGGCCAGGAGGGACCTGGCACCTCAGGGTCATCAGGAGAATGAAATCATGTAACATGTAGTTCTGCATGTAGAGCTGTCTTCCAAAACAGCAGCCATGTCGCTTGAAGCAAGTAACAATGTGGAATAACACTGTGAGACAATCCTCAGTGGGATGAGAGGAAAGAGTTAACTTAAAAAAAAACATTTGTAGTGGTCACAAAAATTTGTAGTGCCATTTTATCCTTTGTATTAGCACTGTGCTTTATGTCTGAATGTTTCTTTTTCTCACATGACCATAGAGTTTTCCCTCCGATGGTCGTGGCCCCGCCCCCAGCGTGCCCGGCGTCCTAATGTCACTTCCTGGTGACGCACACGTCGGGGTGGGGTTCCCCCCGGGGCCCGATCCGCTGCCAGCGGGGAACGGGCCTCTGGGGCGGGGGTTCCCCCTCCCCTTGGGGGGACTTGGCAAGCCTACTTATAGCTGAGCTGGCAAATTATTTTCTTGTGTGCTTTATTTATTATTTATTAATTTTGGCTTATATTCTGCCCTCCCTGTGAACGGGCTCAGAGCAGATGACAACAAAAGTTAAAACATTTCATAGTAAGAATTAAAACACATCATAAAAATCATCCATAATAAATAATTAAAACAAATTTAAACTGAGCTATAAACAGAACAGATGGCACAGCGGTTTAATATGATAGCCACAAAAACTGGAGCCGCTGGGCCGTAGACCAAACTGTGGGTCTTCATCTGATGGGCCATTCGAGGATGGTGCTCAGGGGAGGACTATCAATAGGCTAAGTGCTGTAAAGAGCAGAAATTTGAAATCTTGAGAAGTATGTGTCTTGTGTTTTGAGAGTCAATCTGGTGTAGTGGTTAAGAGCAGCAGACACTAATCTGTAGAGCCACTTGAAGCCTGCTGGGAGACCTTGGGCCAGTCACAGTTCTCTCAGAACTCTCTCAGAAGGTGCTTGTTGTGGGGAGAGGAAGGGAAGGCGATTGTAAGCTGCCTTGAGACTCCTTAGTCTCAACTCTTCTTCTTTTGTAAATAAATTAACATTAAGAGTTTTGTTCATCTTATTCAAATTTTTGCATTTGGGCAAGAAAATTGCTGGGGGCACAGGAACTGTGTTGCAACAACAGCATGGCTATTCATTGAAGCTATTTACAACACTGCCGAAACATTTCTTACACCTAGCTGTCTCTTTCTCTTTTGTAACTCTCTTTCCAGTTAAAACTTCTTAGCAGAATATAATATGCTTTCAATGTGAAATTTTCATTTCTTCCTTTGTCCTTTGTAAGTCTGATACTATCCTATGAATGTAGGCAAGCCTTGAGACTTCTCTTAAGTATAGGAGGAAGCAGTAGGGATTGTTATGTCAAAAGTTTCACTGCTATCTGTTATGGTCTTCAGGGCCAAATCTGTCTACCATGAAAACTGGTGTGCTATGACTTTGATCTTCACAGTGTGAATTAGATATGGTGAGGAGCTAGAATGGTATCAAGTTGAGTTGATTGCCTGTGAAAATAATTTTAAAAATTGTCCTCAGCTTAGTCTGGTAGCTGATTGCCTGCTGCACTATGCAAAGTGTCTTACTCTATGAGACATTTATCTAAGCATTATTCAAATAATCTCAGGAGTAGCTGAGGTGGTCCAAATCAATTAGGCTAGTAGCGGTACAAGCACATCCTCATCAATATTTTCAAATTTATTTTTTTATTTATTTGGTAAGTCAATTGCATTGGCAATAAGCAAATTTTACTAAAATATATCTAGGACTGAAATCTGCTATCAGATTGACATGTGGTGAGCTAAGATTTATGGTAGCCCAGAGGTCTCTAACATGGTGCCTGCTAATGTTTTTCCTGACTCCCAAATGCTTCTTCCCTAGAACAATGGGCTTATGCTGGCTTTCTTCCAGGAGATGTTTCAGCCTTGGAGATAACACCTTTGTTCCTGCAAGGAACACTCATTTGAAGCAGCTGCCTCTGCCATGAACGGATGTGTGACTAGGAATCTCTTTTGTGTACCCTTCCAGCATTTTGTGTGTGGACCCAGCCTGGCCCGTAGCTAACATGGGGCCCACGGGGCCTGGCCCCCTAGTGTTTCTTCTGGGGCCCCTCCCTCCTGGGCTGCCCCCAAAGTGCTCCAACTTACCACCTGCACTGTACTTCCATTTAATTAGCTGGTGCCCCCCCCAGGCCCCCTCCAAAAAAATTCACTAGCTACGGGCCTGGACCCAGCCCTCAGGGCAGCATTACTGTGATTGGTTCTCACCCTTGCCCATGGCATCCACTCTCTTCCAGTGTACAAGAAGTTACATGCCAGGTCTCCAGCTGTCCTGATATATAATGCTTTACTCTCCCCCCTGTTCTGGTATGAACAGTTACAAGCGATTAGCTGATGTGTGAGTTAGTAGCTCATTTGCAAGGCTGATGCAAGCCATTGTTGTTCTAAAATGCTGTCTTTCTGATGCTATAAATATGTAAAATAAAGGTAAAGGTTCCCTTGCTCGAAAGCCAGTCGAATCCGACTCTAGGGTTGTCGAATCCGACTCTAGGGTTGCGGTGCTCATCTCTGTTTCAAAGCCGAAGAGCCAGCGCTGTCTGAAGACGTTTCCATGGTCATGTGGCCGGCATGACTAAACACCAAGGCGCACGGAACGCTGTTACCTTCCCACCGAAGTGGTACCTATTTATCTACTTGCAATTTCTTGCTTTCGAACTGCTAGGTTGGCAGGAGCTGGAATATGTACTTGGAAGTAAACCACACAAAATTCAATGGAACCTCCAAGTAAGTTTGTGTAGAGTTGTATCTTGTGTACAAGCCTTTAGGATAACATCATGCTTCTGTTTTATACGTTCGGTGAGAATTTGAAAGCTTTTTTTTTGTATTTTTGCATTTGTGTGTGTGAGTATGTATGTGTGCCCATGTCTGGAAGACATGGCAACCTCCGGCAACTCCTACTGGTGCATGGAAAACATTCAGAGAAGTGACTTGATCACTTGCCTCTGGCCTCCTGGCCCTGGTATTCTCTGGAGGTCTCCCATTCAAATACTTAGCTTCTGAGATCTGATGAGATTGGGCTTGCCTGGGCTATTTTGGTAAGAGTGCTGTTTAGCTATTTAAAGCTCCATATTTAGGCCAAAAGCACAATGACTAGATAGCAGTGATCACAAATCTCTTTCTGAGGACCACTTGTCAAGTGAGGCCCATTCCACCCCCCAAATTCTTCATGTATAGCTGAAAAATTGGGGGCATCTCTTGCTTCATGTGGGGTAGGGAGAGAGAGGGACTTCAACCCTACCCTGAATTCAGTGGCATGTGCAGAGAAGTTGTAGGAGAGTTCAGTCTCATTTCATGGTATACTTTTGAGACCCTTAGAAGCAGTAAGAAGACCTCAGAGTCTCTACAAAGCCTGACACGAAACAAAAGACCAACCTAGTGCCTCTCCTGAATCATGGCTGGCTCCCAATGACAATTAAATATATGGAACCTTTCCCCTGCTACTGGTAGCCATAATATTAGGTCTGTGAACATCAGTTAGCTTTCTACCTTTTCAAGCAATGTATATTTTTATAAGGTTAATGTTGGAGAAGCACTTCCCCAGTAATTCCAAAAATATTATGTTGTAAGGGAATTTTAGACTGCTTTAGTTTATCTGGGTTTTGTTTTGGGAAACTATCTAGCTCTCTTAACACATGTAGTGGGAATTACTACAAGCTGTAAGGAAAGTAAAAGCATTGCAAAGACAATTGAGGGATTTAAGAAGTAAATATCGGTGTAAGTTTATAAGCTTATATCACTGAATGCTCGTAGGTCGCATATGCAATCAATTACCATAGTTTGTGTGCAAATTAGGTGTACATTTGATAAGTGCCCAGTGGTGTCAGTAATTGTAGCATGTGAAATAATCCCCACCCTTCCTGCCATGCTCATTTCATCACTCTCTTATCCTTATCTGTTTCCCAGTTCAGAGCTGCCAAACCAGAGCTGCCAACCCTACCCAAAGCTGATATTCTCCCAGCTTGCATAAGTGAAAAAGCAAATAAATAAATTGCACAAAACAATTTCCATCAAGCAGATGCTACATAGTGTCATAAAACTAATCAAATCTACATGAACAATTCTTTGTTTTCTGAGTATGTTTTCCTTTGCAAAACTTGTGCCAACTTTCTCCACTACTGTTGGTAGTTTTGCCCAAAATAAAGAAACCAAAATTCGTTTACAGTTCGTTTACAGGCATTTCTTTAAAGTTGATGGAAATTTTTGATGATATAAAGCATAGTCATTGCTTATTATTATTAAAGTGCTTTACAGATGCAAAATATTGCTCGTGAGTAAATGACATTGGTCCTGACTACTCATGAAGATGTAATTCAGATTCAGGCATATGACTTTCAGTGTCAGAGGGTGGACCAAATGAGATGGTGGTAATGCAAACTATTAAAAATTAAATTGAAAGATAAATGAAAGTTGTGATTTCCATGCCTGTTTTCTAGAGACTATAATCATGTGATGTGGTAGACACATGAGAAAAGGATGCTTTGGACGACTTAGTGCTACAGATGAAGGCTGCATGGGATTGAAGGCATTTCACAGTCTGCCCATCTTGGCAACATGGTTAATAGTGTTGCTTGATTCGGTTGCCAATTTTTAACTATATTATTTAATAAAGTACATACAACTGAATAGTTATGAATTATATTTTGAACTGTATTTTGAATTTCACTATTATACAGAGGGCAGTATCCACTGAAGATTTGGTTGGTTCACTAGTGCAAATACACTAGATCAGAGCAGGGCAGAAGGTCACTTGGGGATGACCAGTTCCCTGCCCCTCCTGCCATGCTCATTTCATCACTCTCTTATCCTTCCCTTTAGAGCTACTACAGCAGTCCCTTTTTCATATGTATATACATATACACCCTTGCTCTGGTGGGAAAAAGTGATGCTGTTGATTCTTCCCCTTGCATCAAAGGTGATATTTGTATCTTCTAGCGAAAATATAGAGGTATCTATATATTTTTTCCCTGCAAGGTAAGTTAGAATTTTGGACCAGGTTTACTTCCAAAGAACAGGAGATAGGGTTGCCAGGTCCCCTTGTTGCTCTGGCGGGGGGATTTGGGGGGCATTTCAGGGGTTGGCGGGAATTCTCCAAACCCCCACCCCCAAGAGTGACCACCTGCCCAGCCACCACTCTCCCTCCCCTCCTGCCTGATTTAAATCAGCCCTGCACACTGTGACCCCCACCAAGCTGGCAAAAAGACTCTTTAAAGGGGTCTTGCATGCAAGCCGGGGTGAGCATGCAGCCTGTGACTGCCCCTCTCCCTCCCTCCTGCTAGATTTAAAGGGCCCTCCAGCTGGTCAGTGGGCCATGTGGTCCCCACCAATCAGCTGAAGCCCTTTAAATCAGGCAGCAGGGGAGGAAGAGGGGTGGCCAGGCAGGTGGTCACTCTTGGAGGAGGGGCTTGGGGTGGGGCTGGCAGAAGTCCCCAGAAGCAGGGGAACCCTTACCCGGACCTGGGGGCTGGCAACCCTAACAGCAGAGGACACTTTCCCCACGCTAGCACTGCAGAACTTTTCTGAAACACTGTAATTTTTGAACAAGCTACCATTTTGTGATTGGTTCCACCCATGAGCTGCCATTTTGTGACTGGCAGCTTCCAAGGTTCTTGGAGGAAAAAAATTAGGTAACTCTGTGGTGTCCTTGCTTATTGGGGAGAAACACTCTCTGTGTACCTAAACTTGGTAGATTTCTGCTGCCACCAGGAATTAAAAATTCCAAATCTCTCTTTTGGTAGAATGACCTAGGGTCTGGGCCAATGCTCCCTCTAAGCTGTGGAGTCGTGTGAGCAAAAATTCTACTTTGTGAGCTCCTGGCATTAAAGTTGTGAGCAAGCAATTTGGCTACTGCATAAATTAGTTTGCTCTGCAGCCATCCTTCCTGAGCTAGGACAAAAATGTGTGAGCCAGAAGCTAAAAAACTGTGAGCCAGCTCACACTAACTCAGCTAAGAGGGAACACTGGTCTGGGCACTTCAAAGGACTATATGACCCTGAGGAAGGACTATTCTGATTTCTGGGATAAGTTTAAACAAAATATGATTTATCTAATAAAGAACAAAATAGGTTTCTGGTTATTTTGAACGGTTGCTGATGAAAGGAACTTGTAAATATAACTGGCAAAGCTTGGTGTCACAGTCTCTCAAACTCCCAAAACTCCACTCTGACAGGCGTAGACACTCAATCTAATTTCTCTCTCTCTCATCTATATAGCCACACAGGCTGAACTCTTTGTCTTATTCACACAGAATAGACTCAAAATCTCCCATAGTCACACAGACTATGCTCTCTCTTCAAACTTCACACACAGAATCTTCCTCATAGATACCCCTCCTCCCACACTCTCAGTCATCAGCCAGTCACCTCACACTTGTCTCCCTCTGTCAATCTTCTTACAGTACTTCAGTCAAACTAAACATTTAAAGAAACGCACACACCAAAACATGAAATCATTACAAGCTCCCAGAAACATGAAGTCTGCCTTCCCTTGCTCTAGATTAGTTAATGGCTGAGAGTGTAAATCTGGTTTCTTTGGAAAGTAGTGAAATATGAAATTGGTAGTTCATTCAACATATGCTGCAGGATTATGAGATAAACGTGCATATGTGATCTGGCTCCCTGATCTTGTATATTTTTAGCTTTGAAGTTAGTGTTTTTGTTGTGAGGCTTGTTATCTGTGATATTTTTCTTATGTTTGCTATTTCTACTATATGAAAAATTACCAGTTTTATGCAATAGGAAAATAATGATTTTATTGAGTTCTGGTGCAGGAAGGTTTTTGCCACATTAAATTTGTTAGTGTTTATGGTGCCATGAAACTTTGTTATGCTGGCTATAGCAGACTAACATGGCTACGCCTCTGGAATTTGTCATTTTACTGAGGTAGCGTTGGTTCACCAGTTAATTCAAACTATTGTGAGAGCCACAGATCAGTTTAATACTTTTGTTTGCCAAGAGTAGTGATTCTCATTGTCCTAGTATATTTTCCTATAAGAGCACATTTGTCTACTGTAAAAGGATATGTTTGAACAGTCTGCGCAGCATTTTTAGTTTTATAGCTAGCTTCACTAGAACTTAAATATATTGTACATATTTTGATATTTTGCTTCTGAAATGGTTCAGTGATACAGTGGAAAGTACATGAATGGCTGGCCTCCCTGTTATTTGAGGAATACCTTCAGACCATTGTTCTTTCCAGAAAATGGAAAGCACCAATGGACTGAATTTTAATCCTGGCAAACTCAAAAAGGAAATACTTTTTAGGTGCTAGAAATATCAAAATAAATCAGACCTATCAACATGTGTGGTTGATGTGTGTATAACTTGAGCCATAGTGCAACTACTTTGTACATCTGAAGATCCCAAAATGAGAAGGTGAATGTGTTTTTTTATTTAGGTTCTTCCATTCCCTAGCCAAGTGGTATACAACAGGGTTGGAAAGTGTGGAAGTCGCACTGTGGTTTTGCTGTTAAGAATTCTATCTGAGAAACATGGGTTCAACTTGGTTACATCAGACATTCATAACAAAACCAGACTGACCAAGAATGAACAGGTATGTGGTTTCTGTTGATGTATATGATATATATATTAGCAGTCAATTTTAAGTCTGTGAAAAGTCTGTGCAGGTAATAAAGTTGCACTGTACAAAATGGTTCACAAACTTATTTCAACAAGTTATTAGGGACTGTGATTTATTCTGCTGTGTATCGCTTACTGTAAGTAGCTCCCAGAATGTTCCTGTTATGTAATTTTTGCACTGCTTAATGTGTCATGTTAATACTTATGGTATGGTATGCTTCAGTTCCTTCTGGTTGTTTTAAGAAATCTGCAATCCTAATGTATTGTGTATTGAATGTCTCATTTTGTTGATTGTATTGACTCACTATATGTAATTGGCCTTGAGTACCTGTGAGGAAAGCTATCACAGTTCACTCAGTGCTTTGTGTATTTGAAATGTCCTTTTTAGGGCCATCTGACAGTTTCTACATCTTGTGATGGTAAATAAAGTAAGTTAATCCTACAGGTGGTAGTTATAACACCCTGAAACAACAAGCATAGATACTTTTGATTTCATTTCATTTTTATCTGAATTTTGCTTTCAGCAGTTGCCCATCTCCGCTAGTGGAAATATTTAATTGACATTTCTCTGTCTTTGACAATTAAATAGACTGGTACATTTTGATGAATTACAGCTGTATAGGAAAGCCAGTCACAAACAAAATACTGAATTGGAGTTCTCTATTGGTGCTTAAAGTGGCTAAAAGTTTTATCTTTTTTTCCACAAGGAAAAAATTCATTAGGAATCTCAGATGTTAACTGCCAAAACATTAAGCAGCAATCTTATTTCCAAGTAATGTGACATTTTGCTTAGAAATATGAATGGCGTTTTCCCCAGACTTCCCAGGAATTTAAGAAGGAGCCTGTCCTCCATCCAACTGTGAGTCATCTCTCTATGCCACCAGGTGGAGTTTTGCCGAAAATACAATCCAGTTTTAACACTGAACTACCTTGCATTTCTTTAGAAAAACATTGGAGGAGGAAGAGGGATATTAAACGGAGATGTCCTTAAGACAAAACTGGCATAGTGTAACTTGGGTCTGTATTTTCCAGATTCTAGCTAACAGAATAAATACCTGTACCATTATTTTATAATTCTTTGAAGTATGCGGTAGCTGTTTCTTGAGCTCTTGAACACAGCTGTATCAAGGCTATATGTGGTACAGCATACCAGCTCTCATAGACATTTGAGGTGATCGACTGCCCAGCCTACATTCTGTAAAATTCTGCAGTTGTTCACAGAGCTAAGATCTGGAAATTCTAAGCCAATATTAAAATGGTTCAAAACTGGCTATTACATTCCTGTAATTCCATATAATTCACCAACTGTATTTCTTAACTCATAAACAGGAATTTTGCCTTTTAAAACAAAGTACATACTAGCCTGTGCTAGTTATCTGGAAAGATTATTAAAAATCTGTCTGCTTGAATAATCTGGAACAAGCTTCCTCAAATCAAATCAATCTGTCTAATCCCCTTTTAAAATCATCAAAGTTAGTAGCCCATGGCAGTGAGTTTGGCAACTTAATTAACACAAGCAAACATAAATGCACACATGAATTTGTGTCTGCTTTCACTGTTAGGGGGGCCTTCAGGCTGCTCACTTTGCAGTTAGAGCTATCTGCTGTTGCTGATGGGCAATGTTGAAAGTTTCCTTTTGCCTCAGCAACACTCAAGTACAATGCAGAGGAGCCTCCATAAAATGCCTGCTGGACATCTTGTCAAGTACAGCTCTTGCGTTCAGCTTGGCTGGTCTGTATTGATTTCTGCTGTTCCACCAATGCTTGGGATTGATTTATAAAGGGGCACAACCTTTCCCATCCCAGTTGCCCATCATTTTCATGTTTTTGTGGAAGTGTGAATAATCACATACAAATCTGTGCATCATCCCCCCCCCCATTAAATTATATAGCATTATGCAATGAGAAAAACCTGCTAACCTATTTGTGAAGCCACTGCGTGGAAGCAAGTACATAAAGGCTGCAGGGTCATATGCAGGGAGCTATTCTCTAGAAATATGCCTACAGGCAGGTTATAATTTAGCTGAAGGACATTTAGCATACCCAACTTTATGTATTTAATTTATTTAAAATATTCCATTTTTCTCCTGCTCAGAAGGACTTCAAAACTTACAGTTTGAAAAATGCCTATTTCTCTTGAAAGAAGTCACAGTAAATTTACTAGATATTTTAAAATTATTAAATTTACCTAATTGTGTATTAACAGCCCTGAACAGCTTTATACTCTTCGAATTAACATCTCCTGGTGGTCCCTGGCCCGAGGGATGCCCACTTAGCCTCGACTAGGACGAGGGCTTTTTCGGCCCTCACCCTGTCTAGTAGAACAAGCTCCCATTTGAGATCAGGGCCCTGCGGGACCTAGCACAGTTCGACAGGGCCTGTAAAACGGAGCTGTTCTGCCAGGCCTTTGGTTGAGGTGGCAGGCATTCAATCCATTCTGGGTCCCCTGTCCTGTCCACAGCGCTGTTTATGACCTTTTTCCAGTGCCCTATTATTCTGGATACTATCCAGACACTGGAGTTTCTTAGGGTAATTATTTTATAAGGCATGGTTTGGTTTGATCTGCTCTTGCTATTTATTGTTTTACTATTTTTATGGCTTGTTGATTTTATGTTGTGAGCCCCCCGAGCCCATTTTTTGGGGTAGGGTGGGGTAAATTTAACAAATAAATAAATAAATAAATTGGCCTGGGTTAAGCTGTCTAGTTGTTGTTTCTAACCAGTACTGGAAGTGCTTCCTTCTCCCTCTGAAGTGGAGGACATCTTGGTTGGGTGATTCTCACCATCCATCTAAGGGAGGCAGGACTAATTTTAATCTTCCTCACTCTGGCTTTGTCAGAGTCACCCTCCCCAGTTTGTGTCCTGCCTCAGAAGGGAGTGCAGCTTTGGAGATAGGCTCCTCTTCTCCTTATCTTTACTTCAACCTTTGCTTCCACCTTGATCTTAATCTGACCATTTACACTCATTGTTTTCATTGTTTCCCTCTCCTGGCCTTTAAAGAGCCTTTCTTCTTCCGTGAAGGTGCAGGGGAAACACACATGGCAGCTGCTTTTCTGTTTTAAATGGCTCGACCGAGGGAGGATGACGGCTTCCTCTTGGACAGAGACGGGTCTTTCTTGATCAGCAAGGGAGACTGCCAAAGATGGCATGGCCTTAATACGTCCACTTCAGCAGCTGTGGCTGGCCCAGTGGCTAGAAAGAAAATGCATGAGAGAAGGAAGAACACACCAGAGCCAGCAGCCGGTTTGACTGTGGAGGCTTCCAACAGCAGCCATTTTAAACACACTCACTCAGTGGGACCCTCTTCTCAGGTGAAGTTCCTGAGCCGGGGGGAAACCAGGAGGCTGCAGTGAGTAATCTGATTAACCCCCAAATGGCAAAACAATCTCAGCTGGCCCCTCCAGATCAGGCTAGTCAGCCTTAATTGCAAGGAGACAAATAGCCTCATGCGGAGGATGACAGAGATCTAGACTCTGTGCACAGCAGGGAAGACAACCCTAGCAATGTAAGGCCATCGGGTTCAGTATCTTATCCATCAGAACTACTAAACCTTCTTACGCAAGTGATGAGGGAAGACCTTAGATATAGCATCTACCCCAGCTCTTCCAGGGATTGTAGAAGGTCTAGATCCCCCATATCTTGGAGAAATCTCTCTTCCCCCTCTTCCTCTCCCAAGGACAGGCCTAACAGAAGTAAATCACTCCGTCGCCAGGTCTGGCCAGCTAAGGCGGCTCAAAAGGGATCCATCACTGTCCTCAAGAAAAGGCAGTATGTGGCCACTGACAGAGACTCACTCAAACTATACATCTAACCCTGGATCTCTGGAGAGAAAGGAAGGGGAGTTCTTGTCTGATGAACAAGGTTGAGGAGGCAATAGAGTTACCGGAGCAATTCGGCTGATTTTTTAAGGCAGAGGACTCCCAGTATTTACTCCCTAAAGCTCTGTTTTCGTTAGACTTAAAGGAACCCATAGGGGATGACGATGCCAATCCCCTTGATGCAAAACAAAAATCCAGACCTAAAGGAAACAGGGAGTTTTTTTCCAGGTCAGATACTCCAGAAAGAGTAGTTCCCTTCCCAGATTATTTTTTAATTATTATTTTTAAAAAGAAAAAAAGGAAATAGGGATACAGAAAAAAGAAGGGAAAGGGGGGGGGCTACATATATAAAGAAAACAAATTTAGGCATTTATAGACATCAAAGACTGTTCAGAGGTACAAATGATGTATTACATATGGAATATATATAGTAATATATTATAGATACTGTATAACTGTAAAATATGTATGTATCAGAAATAAAACATATAAAACATATTTGAAGATATTAGAAACGTTTGGATGGGAGACAATTCAGGGGTGCTTCCTTTTGTTCCCAACACTTCCTTCCCAGATTCAAACAGGACCAACAAAGATCCAAATGGAACCAGTGTAGGACCTTCTACAGGAGAGAAGGTCAGCAGTCAAAGTTCTTCAGACAGCCTGGCCCTAGATCAAACAGACCTGTGTTAAACTGCTCCCAGTTAAGGCTGAAATCAGACTGATTTGTCCTCAGCATCCAGTTCAGAAATGTTTTCCTGCTCAGCTGATGCTAACCAATCAGATCTCTTGGAACATGTTGTCACTCAAGACTCTGTGAAGAATTAACCCTTCACAGTCCTTTATCTGTTTACACAGCACTTCTAAGCTTTTAAAAGTGCAGTCCGTCACACCAGCCTTTCAGGATGGGGAGCAGTGCTGGACAACAAACTGGTTCAGGGCACCTGGACCAGCTCAAAATCCAAGGTGAACATCAACCTCCTGGAGCTGAGAGCCATATGGCTTGCCCTACAGTTCTTTCACCCAGTCATTCTACACAGACATGTGCTAATAATGACAGACTGCATTTCAGCCAAAACCTATATCAACAAACAACAAGGCACTAAAATTGATATCCTGGGCTGAGAAGAATCTGTCATCAATTTTGGCTAAACACATCAAGGAATATCCCAACAACAAACCAGACTGGTTCAGCAGACAGACCATAAAAAAATTGAAATGGTCCCTAAAGAGGGATTGATTTCTTTAGATTACTGATTGGTTTGGAACCCCACAAGTCGGTCTCTTCACATCACTAGGGAACCACCAACTGAAGTGTTTCTTCACAAGGTTTTATAACCCCCCGGTTTCTTTCCACCTCTCCCAGTTCTTCCAATAGTACCTTGGAAAATCAAGGATCAGCGGGTGGACATCATCCTGGTAGCACCACATTGGCCACGCAAGCCCTGTTTTTCAACACTCCAAGAAATGGCGATACAATGACCCTGGAAGTTACCAGTGTCCCCAGGCACACTTCAACAAGGCCCTGTTTGGCATCCAGACCCCAGCTGGCTTCACTTGCCTGTTTGGAGGTTGAGAGGAGATGCTTCCCACATCTTGGATATGATTCAGAAGTGGCAGAAACCTTATTGGCCTCTCAAAGAAACTCTACCAACAGGATCTATAACGCCTCTTGGAAGGCTTTTCTCCGCTGATGCAGAAGGAAGAACATTGAACCTCTGTCCTGTCCTCCTTGCAAAAGAAAATTTAAGGCATCAATGTTAAAACGGCAAGTGGCAGCCTTGGCTGCAGTTCTTCCATGATTCAAGAGAATGAACATCTCTTGAGATCCTGACATCATTCGTTTCCTCCAAGGGGTGGGTAGCCTTAACAAATCCACCTCAGGTTTATAGATCCCTTACGTAGAAGTTCCATACCGTGCTCTGTGCTCTTACCAAGTCCCCCCATTTGAACCACTTAGGGAAATTCAAGTGGCTGTGTATGAAGACACTTTTCCTTGTGGCCATCACCTCAGGCAGGAGGGTATCAGAATTAAGTGCATTGCCAATGAGGAAGGAGCTTTGTATTTTTCATAAGGACAAAGTGGTTCTCAGACCAGACTCCACATTCATTCCAAAGGTTACCTCAAAGTTCCACAGATCTCAGGAATTGCATCTTCCGACCTTCTGTCCAAACCCACAGCACCATAAGGAAAGATCCTGATGTACCGTAGAAGTGAGAAGGACACTGAAGGTTTACATCCAGAGAAATTACTCTCTTAGAAAAACTGTTGCCTTATTTGTCTCTCTTTCTTCTCCAAAAAAGGGGGAAAGAATGTCTAGATCAACTATAAGCAGTGCCATTAGAGCATGCATAGTTGAGAACTATAAGGTGCACAAAATTCCTGTTCCTGTGGGCATTATGGCTCATTCCATCTGGAGTGCCACCACCGATGCAGCTCTAGTTAGGCATCTGTTGAAGAGATCTGCAAAGCAGCAACATGGTCATCTCTATCTACCTTCATCAAACACTACAAGACTAATTCTCAGTGTTTGGCCAATGCCACCTTTGGTAGAAGGGTGCTGCAAAATATCTTGAGTGACCAAGATGTCCTCTGCCTCAGAGGGAGAATGGACCATTGGATACTCACTGTGAAGGGTCCTCATCTGAGGAAAGGAGGACATCTTGTCCCTCCCAGAGTCATCGCTAGTAAGACATTACGCAGGGTTGTCTTCTTGTCTCTGTCTCCCCCCCCCTTGTTTAGAGTTGATATGTCATGATAGACTGGTGCTGGAGTCATCAAACTGGGAAGGGTGACTCCCACGAGTCCAGAGACAGGAAGATTAAAATTAGTCCTGCCTCCCTTAGATGGATGATGGGATTCACCCAACCAAGATGTCCTCCTTTCCTCAGAGGAGAAGAGACTCTTCATGGTGAGAATTCAGTGGTCCATTCTCTGACCAGTTCCTTCTGCCAAAAACATCTGAATACTTTGGACTTGTTGTCAACCTATTATTGAGCTGTGTGAAGTGTAGAAACAGATGGGGCAAGATTAATCACTCACATATTGGTTCACTGCATCCCTCATGGGATATGGTTGAAAGGAGCATTAAGCAGTTTAAATAAAGTTAGACACCAAACTGTGTTTTTTATATACTATGTGTCAGCAAATCAGCTTATAAGAACAACTGTCTGAATTCATAATATTAATTTCTTAAAGGTCTACCACTAAAATATCAGTAATTAAACTAATATATCATCAGATATTTACAGTTTTGGTAATACTACTAAATACTTTTTTCTTGTATTTGGTAATTGCATCCAAATCAGACTATTTTACAAATAAATTTAGTTCTTGCTGTACAAATCTTATAGAATATTTTCAAGAGTTACTTCTGAAAAATATGTACAGTAATGGGTCTGATAGCCATTTTTCTTTAAACTGTGAATTATTTCCACCACCACCACCCCACCGTGTAGGATAAATCTATATACAATTATTCACAATTTCTGTGGCCTCTGTGTCAAGGAATGGTAACAGTCAAGTTATTTTTCATACAACTTGAAGCTTTCACATAACCAATCAGAATAATCTGAGGAGAGCAGAAGTCAGGAAATCAGAGCTGCAAGAATGACTGGAATGTTTTGCATGCATCTCATTTAGCACTTTCGGGAGCCTGACATATTTCAAAACACTCCAAAAATGAACAATCACAGCTTTAAAAGAACAGCATGGGCACATCTTTGTTTTACCAGTGGTCTTGTGTAGTGGAATTGTATTAATGTTTTAATAAAATATACAGTAGTTGTATTGTAATGTATAATTAAACAGACAACACTAGATAAGGTGACTTAAACATAGCCAGGCCAAAATAGGGAGGGGAAAGAAAGGTCTGTACAAAACAAAGCATGGACTCCCTCCCCCCACATATCATGTAGATGGGAAAGCCTAAACTGGTTAGGTTTCCTTGTCCTTGAAATAGAATTGATGCTACTATGTAAATAAATAAGGTAGTGTTTTAATGTTGATGGCTTTTCTGTTTTTAGAAAAGGAGTCTTGAACCTTATAAATAAATAAATATAGGAGTGGTCATGTTTTTGAGCAGCATTTATTAGTTCCATGAGTAGACCATTGTGTTGACTGGAGTGTATCATACGGAGCATATCACTCCTGTCTTGTTCCATCTATACTGGCTTCCAGTCTGCTTCAAGGCTCAATTTAAGGTGTGCTAATATAGACCTTTAAAGCATTGTACCGTCTGGAACCAACATATCTTAAGGACTACATTTTCCCATATAAACCTACCCATTCACTCTGGTCGTCTTTGGAGGTTCTGGTACTTGAGACCAGACAAATGGTGAACCAGGAAAGGGCTTTCTCAGTTGTGGTACCAAAACTTTAGAACTCCCTCTCAGGGAGATTTGTCTGTCTCCCCCTATAGGTGTCTTCTGCCAGTGAATGAAGACTTTCATTTGGCATACTCCTAATAACAGTTATTGGCCCTCCTCCCTGGGTCTGATGTTTTTGTTTATGTGATTTTATTGACTTGTTTATAATTTTAAATGTTGTCTTTACTTGTTCAAATGTTTTAATGTTTTTATGTGCACTGCCTTGGGAACCCTGATTGGATAAGTAGGTTACATAAGAATGTTTTAAGTAAACAAGTGGATCTAGGTTGAGGAACACTTGTGAGTTTTGGTTGTCAACTGAAGCATGAAGCAGGGATCATACTCTGCAGACTTCAACGCTCATGCAAGTATCTATGGTGATACTTGTATCTATGCAATGAGCCTGTTTCTTGCAACAGGCTGGACTTGGTCTTGAAGGGTTCTGCTCCTTCTCACTCACTGTCTCAGTTATTAGCCTGCTTCACGCAGCAGTTTGAGAAAGTTTGACCTGCACAAAGTAAAAATCAATCACAGCAGTCATCAGGAGAAAGAGAAAACTAATTAAACACTGATGTAAATTACAGCAAAATGGTGAACCAAAATGTCTTCATAGTTAGTATTTGCATGCATGTTGAGCAGATCAGGAAAGGCACAGTTTCAGCCCTGTAGCTAGGCAATTTTCGGGGTGGGGGGCAAAGATGGATTGGAGGGCACCACTGTTCCTCCTCTTCCCCTAGAGATAAGCCCCCCTGATGGCCATGCACCCACCCGCCTGACTTCTCCTGGCCTCCCCTTCCCCTGGAGACAAGCCCCCCTGACGGCTGCCCACCCACCCTCTCCCAGACTCTTGTAAGGCCACTTGATGGCCAAGATGACCAGCATGCCCAGCAGCAGGTAGCTGGCATAGCCCAGTGCAAAGAACACCAGCAGGGCACAGTGCCGCATGGCCCAATGGTGCGGACATGGTTGGGGCAACCAGGTGCCAGGAAGGCCAAGCCTCGCCCCACCTCGTCTCCAGCCAGTGCACTGCAAGCTACTCTCTTAGGCAGTGACAGCGGGGCTGCCGGGGAAGTGGGAGGGCCTGGCGGGCAGGCTATGCTTGCAGGTGGCAGGGGCCCATGGGCCTGGCTGAGGATGGTTATGAGACTTGCCATGCGGGCGGCCTCCCAGGGAGAGGAGGGGGAGGGGCCAGGCACATTTGTGAGGAGCGGCACTCCCAGGACCTCTTAGTAGCTACAGACCTGCACAGTTTGGATTGCCAGCTTCCCCTAAATCCTAGTATGTCATGGGTATCTGTGTTCATTCCTGTTTCTGGTTGCAGGAATCGACTAATCTGCATGAAAAAAATCTGGTACTGTTCTAGAGCTCTGTTTTAGAACTTCACTTTGCAGAGGATGATTACATTTTATATCTTCTTGTTTTTAGATGGAATTGATTAAAAATATAAGCACTGCTGAACAACCCTATTTATTTACTAGACATGTTCATTTCCTCAACTTCTCAAGGTAAGAATTTTTTTCAGTTAAAATTATTTTTATTTAAGTGGATAGAAAATATTTGCAGCATATGTCTTTATTATCAAAACCTTTGGGGCCAGACTGATGATGCGGCTCTTGCACATCTGAACTGACCCATGTAACTAATCCTGCCCATGTAGATCCAGGAGGACTGCCAGCGCCCTGCTGCAGCCGGGGGATCCATTGCCCCTGGGCCCCACCACCAGCTGCCAATCAGCTGGCCAGTGGAGGGACTTACTAGGAGCAGGAAGAAGACCCAGGCTTTATCACCTGCAACATGGCAACACTAGCGACATCCGGGCAGCACTCTGGTATTTGGGCAAATATGGTAGAAGCCAGCATGATGACATCACCTCCAGAAAACGCACCAGAAGTGGCATTGCCACATCACTGGCAATATCGCCTGGGCCTCCTTTCCACTCCTAGTAAGCCCTCCCATCCCCCGCTGGTTGCCAGGAGGGACCTGGCAACTCTAGGTTCTGGGATATCTGGTGGAAATATTTGTACGTAGTGTGGGGTTGCAACAGGACAAAGTAGTTCCCTCGCTGCTTAAAATGTGTGTCAAAAGGGCTTAAGTGTTTGGAGAGACATGACTAGGCCTGTGACTAAGGGAGGCTGGAAAATTTGGTGAGTGGGAGGAAAGGGTGGTAGAATCCATGTATACAATAATATTCATGTGTGTGTTTTTTAAATGTGTAGTTGCCTGTGCACTCAGCATTCTTTTCCATAGAGGTCATTTTAGTTTCATAACCTTTCCAACAGAAAACTGTATTCTGCATTATGTAAAACTAGCCAGTTTTCCATCTAATTTTTATTTTCCTCAGCGTTTGCAGCTTTGCAAAGTCTTTGCTGTTAACACCCCCCCCCCCCCGTTTATGTATAAACTCTGTGGATAGGAAGCTTTCAGATTCTAATCACATACAGTGATGTTGATAAATGTGATACCACTTTATAGAGTTAAATAGGTTTAAAAACCCACTGAGTCGAGGAGTAATTTACATTTCTAAATGGCAGTAAGATTTCAGAAGGTACCAGCAGCAAATGTCCACTCGTTCCCTGGCCGATGCTGTTTTTAGTGCTTAAGGACTGGCAGCACCTTCTGCTGAACAGATATGTTGATGCTTGTGCCCGGAAGGTTATGGTTTCCAGCACTCTGGGCTGCATGCATCATTGGTAGAAAGTAAAATTATATCGGGGAAAGCTAAATAAAATACACTTTAGAGTGCTTAATTTTAGTCCAGTTCCTTAATTGAGGTTGTATTTGAGGATTATCTAATAGGGCTTCCCAATTGTTGCAAGAATAGCATTTGATGGAAGTTGACTGTGGAGAAGAGAACCTATATTTGATCCTCAAAAAATAACATCCATCGCTTTTGAAACAGGGCTTGTTGTATTTTTTTCCCTGTGAACTTTTTTTCCTGCACATTGTCATCAGTGTGCACTATGCTTTGTGGAATAATATAAGCAAAAAGGAACTTCCTGTTAAATTTTGTTACTGAAGTTGGGGGGGGGGGAGAAATGCAAAGATAACAATCAGAGAGGGGGGATTGGTACAGAACAGAAACCACTTGGTTAGTATTCTCAATTGCCTTAAATATGATGTGGGTACATGCTACATGTTATCTGTTCATGATTTTTTAAAAATAATACATAGCAGCTGGGGTGGCTGATTTCATATGGTTAGTTAATAATTTCCTACTGCACCAAAGCTGCCTGTGTAAGTGTCTTATGGGGCTTTCTTTCCCCTTCCTTGATAAGGCACACAGCAATTTGATGGGTTGTGGTGCTGATTGCAATCAGAAATACGATGGGGAAGGGTTTAAGCCAGATACCCAGTTCAAATGTGGGGGGAGGGTTGCAGCTGTTCTTAATCTTATTTTTTAAAAGCACAGTACATCGGTTCAAAGAGTTTTTTGAACATTCTTCAGATATCTTTAGCAATGAACTTTTGAATGCTATTGGGGTGTGCATTCGGATCTTCCCAAGCCAAAAATATACCTGAAAAATGCCTATAGGCTGTCCCCCCCCCCTTTTTTTCTGCAGTCTGCTTAAACCAGGCTAGTATAAAGGGACTGCAGGAAAGATCAGGGAAACAGTTGAGAGGCTAGGAAACTGCTCCCTGCCTATCGGCTGTCCCCCCCTTTTTCCTTCTACAGTCCATTTAAACCAGGCTGGTTTAAAGGGACTGCAGAAAAGATTGGGGGAACAGCTGAGAGGCTGGAAAGCTGCTCCCCACCTTTCAGCTGTTCCCCCCCCTTTCCTCTGCATTTCCTTTAAATTAGTAAGGTTTAAAGGGGCTGCAGAAAGATTTGGGAAACAGCTGAGAGGCAGGAGCCAATGCTGAGCGGTGTTCTGCAGCTTTGCTGCTCCTGGGTTGGAAAACCCTCCCCCCCATTTTTTCCATCTCAGGTCTGTTGGACATCCCCAAAATTGGGATTTCCAAAAAATCCTGGAACAGAATACTTTGCTGGTATTGGGATCTGGCATTTTCCAGAAATCTCAATTGGGGGGTGGGGGGACCGACCAATAGACCTGAACCAGAAACAAAAACAAAAGCAAAAACCTCTGCACACCCCTAAATGCTGTGTTATACTTTCTACTGTATCATTATTCTAGCATGTGGTGGGATGCGGTTGGCGGTGTTGAAGCAAGGTTATTTACCATTATTCATAAAAATTTGAGATGTGTAAGTTTTTAAATGTTTAAAGAATTAAACTCTTCAGTGACCAAAAAGATACTGTGTCAGTTTTCAGTATAAAATAAAATGTTTCTCTTGAAGCAAATAGCTTTAGAGAGATTTACAATCAGGAGTAAAATTTTGAGTTATGAAAGAAGGAAAATATTTTAATGAGGAGGAATTTACAAGAAAGGCCATGTCTGTACTGTTTTTCCTTAAGTGTGGGCTTGTATTTGACTTAAACAGTCTACTGAAATTTAAGTGTGTGTTCCAGGCAGGGTTTGATCCTCAGAATGCAGCAATGCCATTGGGGGGAGGAGGAATACAGGCCATATTTTTTTTAGTTTAAGCAATCGTTTTAGTTGGTGTGTTATGCAAATATAAACAAGGGAAGGGTGGTAATGACTATAATACAATCTGCATGTGCCATGGTGAAACGATACGTACTCTGGAAAAATGTTGATGTCTCTGGAGCTCTGTTGCTTACTGTGGATGAAATTCCCTTTCCCTTAATGCCAATGAGAAATTTATCGCTAGCTATACTACAGCCAATATTGCATATTGTTGTGGTAGACCTTTCCAACATCAAGTAGTCTTGCTCTGCACAGTGAGTTTCAATTAATAGTTACAAGTTATTTTTGTTCTCACGAGTTCAACAAGCACTAAACACTATAATGTCCTCCGTTGCCAAACCTAAATAATTATGAACTACATGGTTATAGGTACATTGGGTTCATAGTGCATGCCTGGACTAGTGGAATACCATGCTTGCTCCTTTGTCAGAGAAGGTAGCTACAAGTGGCCAGGGGAAATGAACAGTCTTCATGGTAAAACGATGGCTTTTCTTCTCTTCCCACATTCCCCAGACAGGCTTGAAACAATAGGTTGCCAGTGGAGGCTTAGCATTCAGCATTAACTCTGTGCGTGTGGAGATGGCTGAGGCATCGCCAACAAGGCTATGGGCAGCTCAAGGCATTTTCTTGTGCCAAGTACCCTCCTCCTGTGCCACTGGCCAGGTGCAAGGCAGACTGCAGACCAGGTGGTTTACACTTGAACTGAGTGGCAGAGGTTACAGGGGACTTGTATCTCTTCCCATGGCACCCCTGTGATATGATGTCCTAAGAAGCAGCTTGTTTTGCTTGTATGTCAAATCAGGCCTGATATATGTGGTGGGTGGTTAGCAAATAGAATCATGGTTAACTTCTGATAGCTGTTAGCAATACAAGCAGATTGTAGATCAGTGAATGTGTAGCTGTATGCATCTTCCAGAATGTTAGAGATGATAAAATATTTATAGTCCCAATCAGGCTTTCCTTAATGAACACTGTATTCATGTGAGGCGCTTCCCTTGCCAGCGCCACCCCACTGGCCTCCTCCACTGCATCTGTGGCAGGATGGCCCTACTGCCCCATAGACACGAGGGTACTTTCTCTCCAGACTTCGCCTGCCAGTTCAAAGCCCAGCCAGGAAGCTGGGGCAGAAAGTCACTAATTGCTCCTCTTTGATAGCATGCCACCACCTCAAGGTAAAATCTGCCTCTTTCTCTCTCTTAGAGTCATTTGTGTACCCAAGTGCAAAGCTGTGAGTAGGGAAGTATGCAGACTCTTTAGTTAAATAACTCTGTTACTACAAGGTGCAGACTCAAGGTAGCTATAAGACAGATTCTAGGTAAAACTAAGCAAAATAAAGAAAAGCCACTGGCTAGTTACTTACAATCTTTGGACATCTAGTATTTGCTGGTTGCATGGTGCCCCTATTCCAGGGCACACCTGCAAGGTGTTTGGTGTCATTCCCCTCTATCATCCTCATTGCAATTCATCTATGTGAGGGTACTTTTCCAACAACTACAAATGCCCCCCCACAAAGGAACAGCTCCCTTTCAGACCCCTCTTGGGCCTTCACCTATCTGAGTGCCATAACCTGGGGCTCAAGCCAACCAGTCCATGGTCCCTCCAATCAAGGGGTATTACCACGTCAAAAAGCTAGTGTGTTTTCCCTTTTGGTGGTAAACAACCTTCTCTGTCTGGAGAAGTGCATCTTTCCCATACTCTGTCCATATCCGGGATGCCAATGCACCATTCCATCAACATAACTGTCACAGCATATCTTGCCCATCTGCCCTTCCCACAGCAGTGTCCCATCACCCTGGGGCTTCCCGCGGTGAAGTGGAGTAAGGGTTACAGCACCTGTGGCTAACCTCTCCTCCCTGGATCTTTGCTGCTGCCTTGACTTTAGGTGCAGGCTCCTTTCCACTCTTCCTGGCTTGGTTCTGGAGCCCCTTTTTATACCCCCCTTCTTCCTGTTCACTGCC